AGACTGCCCTGCACTAATGAGAGTGAAAGAGCTCAAGCAAGGTTTGTAGGTGTCTAGCGTGGCCTGGCTAAATCGAAATCAATAGGCATTCAGGACAGAATCACTTGTTCACAATTCAATGTTCTGTGTGGCATTAGCCTGGAGAGTAGTTGTTTTGCTCCTGATATCTATCATTGTTGTTCATTTTATGAACATTGTGCGGAAATGCCTTTGAGCTTTTTGTTTTTATTTAACATTTCATTCCAATTCGAGCATTGTGTCAATTTCTTAGTTGAAATTACGCCAGTCGGGCAACCAGCCACTCCCGTATGAGAATTTTGGTTCTGGAGTGTTTCTTTCCTTCTTTTCTACTCAGATGGTGCTGCTCTCATATTGTCTATGGAGGACGTCTGAGGGAATATAATCCCGACTTGATTTTTGTATGGCTAGGCGACGCTCAGTCGGCGGTCTTATAGGACTGCTGGCTGGAGACTGCCCCGCACTGATGAGAGTCAACGAGCTCGAAACCGGTCTGTAGGTGGCTAGCGTGCCCTGGCTAAATCGAAATCAATAGGCATTCAGGAAAGAATCACCTGTATCAGTATTCGTTTATACTAGTCGAAGAATAGATTTCGGGAGGTGTTCTGCGTGGCATTAGCTAGAAATGTAGTTGTTTTTCTCCCGAAATCTACCATTATTGTTTATTTTATGAACATTGTGTGGAAATGACTTCAAGCTTTTTGTATTCATTTATTATCTATTAGGTAGGTACCTATGTTACAAATAATAAACAACTTCTTTGGATTAACATTCTTGGAGGGGGGAAGGTGGTCACCCCCGTTACCCCTCCCCCTTGTATCGACGGCCTTGGACAGAACAGTTCTGGTAAATAGTTGTTCGGACGTATCTCGAGGTTAACGATGAAAACATGTGCTGACTAGGCATGTCGAGTATGTCTGACTATACAGAACCGTCTTTCACCTTTTCGAGGCCCTGGGCACATTAGAATAATGCCCCTGCGACCATAACAAAGTACTATCTTGGTAGAATAGACAAATAACGTGAAATTCAAAATTTTAGCATTATTTTAATTTCTTTACAATAATTACATTAGATATGATGAATAGATTATATCATGTAATCCACACTAAGTAACCAGCATTCACGATTAGTCCTTATAATCCTTATATATACATATAAGTATCTATGCTGATTGAAGATGAACCCTTCTAGATTTTAGTTGAGCAAAATCGTTAATAACATTTTCAAAATCTTTATTTTCGAGCATATCACATTCTTTCGTCATAAGCAACAAACTATTCAATCTCTCTTGAAGCATTGTACTCGATTTCACCTCTTGCACTGCAGTTAGTTACCATCATGCTTAGAAAGATTCTTAGTGCGATTTATAGATTGGGAAAGGTGTCTTAAATTTTTGGTCTCTTTCAAAAGGTGATATATTTCCAGTATACTATCCAATATACTATTTGTTTTTCCATTTTTACTTATTTTTACTCTGATCAATTTTCAAGTATTCTGTTAAATCCAGACATTCCATTTCTAACTCTTTCTCGTTTACATCTTCATAGTAGATTTCAGCAAATTCTTTGCAACTTTGTCTCAACTCTTCGGAATTCAGAGTTTTCAAGATCTACTGGAGATCTACTTGCCTACGTCACCCATTTATGGCAAGCTTCATTAGAAAAACACGGGGAATCTCTAGCTGTCGCGTTGGACATATCGAAAGCATTCGACCGTGTTTGGCACGAAGGACTCCTCCACAAACTACCATCATACGGCTTACCACCTCAGCTATGCCACCTCTTATCGAGTTTTCTCTCAGGCAGATCGCTTCACGTGGTGGTGGACGGTGTATCGTCTGATACCATTGGCATCAATTCCGGCGTTCCACAAGGATCAATTTTGGCACCAACATTATTCCTTCTTCATATCAATGATCTGTTGGGAGTAACAACTTGCCCCATCCACAGCTTTGCGGATGATAGTACCCTCCATACTGCGTTCTCTTCCAGAATTCCCATTTCTTCCCAGGAAACTAAGAACTCACGGCGCAGGCAGGTCAATGCTGTCAATGAAGGTCTTGCTGAAATCACAGCCTGGGGAACCAACAACCTAGTTGAATTCAACGCCACCAAAACTCAAGCTTGCGTTTTCTCTAGAAAGGCTTAACTCAGTATGCCCCATATTGTAATGTCTGACTCCACCATCCCCACCAAGCCCACCATATCTATGCTCGCTATTTCCATCAGCAACACTCTTTCATGGGATAATCATGTCAGATCCATCGCAGAAGCTGCTTCACAAAAACTCGGATTCTAGTTCCGTGCGAAAAGCTACTTTACACCTCAACAGCTTCTCATGATCTACAAAGCGCATATACGGCCTGTTCTAGAATACTGTCCCCACATATGGGGTTCATCACCAAAACATACGCTGATGCTCTTAGATTCCATCCAGAGAAGAGCCATTCGCCTGGTGGGTGACGCCACACTCACTCTCT